CTCTCACCTTCATTAATCCTCCCCATGGCTGTAACCACTGACCTGTTTCTCTTTGATAATCTAAGATTAAGAACCCACCAGTTAGAAACAGTTTATTCTTTGTGAAGTTATTTTCCCCATAATAAACCACACCCATGAAGAGATATTTACCAAAATTTGGTAGTACCCTAAGTACCGTCCTTATGAAATATTCCCTACCAGACATATCTGAAAGGACAGCAAATCAACTGGTTTGGTTTGGTAACTCCCTCCGCACCGGGGGTGAACGGCGGCGTTCCGCGGGAAGTTGGACGTAACCTGGAAGGGAAGGTTGAGTGCGTCAGTACCTTCCCAAAAGCTGCAGAAAGAGGCGAGGGTTAGTGGGTCAAGCAGCTATTGTTGTTTATAAACCACATTTTAACTTTTTTTCATGCAGACTTGATTGCCTAAGACAGCAACTGCTGTATAAATTTTTCAGTCCTGTAGGCTATATTATTTCAAACATTATTTAATGTAAATTGAGGAGCTGAGGCACAGTATGGGCTTATGCCTGTTGATGCCTTACCTGTAACTCACTAATGCTTGTTTGACACGTTTTCCTTTTTTTTTTTTTTTTTTTTTTTTTTTCGAGTCCTTTTTTATGTGGTCTTATTTTTGTGCTTTAATTTTTTGTATTTTGGGGCAAGGATTTTTAGTTTTTGTTATGGGTTTTTTTTTTTTTCTTTTTTTTGGTTCTGAGAGGTTCACTTGGTTTCTGAAGGCGGCAGGTTTTTTTTGAGGGAAGACTTTTTTTTCCTTTTTTTTTTTTTTTTTTTTTTTTGTGAGAAGTGTTGAGGGGGGAGTTTGGTATTGAGACCAGTTTCCTGTGAGAAGGAGTCTCGCTCTGCTGCCCAGGCTGGAGTGCAATGGCACAATCTCGGCTCACTGCAACCTCTGCTCCCGGGTTCAAGTGATTCTCCTGTCTCATCCTCCCGAGTAGCTGGGACTACAGGCACATGCCACCATGTCGGGCTAATTTTTGTATTTTTAGTAGAGACAGGGTTTCACCACGTTGGCCAGGATGGTCTTGATCTCTTGACCTTGTGATCCGCCCGCCTTGGCCTTCCAAAGTGCTGGGATTACAGGCGTGAGCCACTGCGCCCAGCCTGCATACACTCTTCCTAAAGGTGAAATCCAGTTCTTTACATTTGCGCTCAAAAGTCTGTCAAATTGCTACAATTCCATTTAAACCCCTTGAGTTTAAAGCCTTACCTCAGCACAGCGTGTGCATGTGGACCTACTGAAGATGACCACAGAGTGACCGTCTATATAGGCCTGAAGCAGGGCTCTGAGGTCTGCAGTGGCCGTGCTGGTGAATCCTGCTGGGTTCTCTGGCAAAGTTTTACCAGGGTGATGATCTTTAGCTAGAAGTAGTGGAAGTAAGGATGGTAATTATCACAAAGGAAAACATGATGATGCGTTTTCTAATATTAGGTTCACTCTAAAAGCATTACCATTTCAGTCCCACAGGCCAAAATAAGGAATCTGAGGAAGGAAGGACTCTAATGAAGATTACAGATTTAGTTCTTTCATCTGACTGGAACCTCTGACAAATTATTCAATATTCCTGACTCAGATCACACTCAAGATATGTTCTCAGGGGATCCTGCCAAGTAACAAGTCATAATCGGAAGCTTCCCTGATCGCAGGAAAATAAGTAACGGGTTCGAAATACTGAGGCCACATTTTATGCCATCTGTATTCCCAACCATGGTTTAAATGCAGAGAGGCCAAATGTCAGACAGATGTCCCCTTCCAACACAACCCTGCTTACAGACACAGGGGCAGACTACTCAAAGCAAGGTTTACACATTTTCTCCCAGGCTAACTCCTGGATAAGCAGACACAGGATCTTCAGGCAAGATGCAGCAAGATTGCAATAAAAATACTTTCTGCAGATTCTCTGTTTTCTCCTCAGGATTTTGTGCTGGCCCAATCAGGCATCAAAACAAACATGATCCAGCTTAGTGGTATGTTATCCCCACATGACAGCACTGTCATCCTGGGCGTCATCACCAGTCAAAACCACCAAGAGATTGCTACCTCCAGCTTGTAAAAATGTTTAAATTAGCTGTCTTCTTCAGGACCCACAAATAAACCAAGCTCAAGCCCACCCTTACACTTGCTCCTTAGGTGATTTCTTCTCATTTCTGCTGATCCAAGTAAGCCATTCATCCTTCTTCAATCTCCTTATCATCTTCATAGTTGGTATGTGTATTTATCCAGAACTAGACAGAGGGTTAATGTTTGTATGCCTCCTTTCATTTAATCCTTCTAGCAATATCGTTAGGTGGGTACTGCTACCATCATCCCCATTTTACAAACAAGGACACAGACTCAGAGAGGTTATGCAACGTCCTCAGGGTTGCACAGCTTACAATAAGTAATGGAGCTAAAATTAAAAGTTAGGTTATCATTCTCTAGAACCTACACTTTAAAAAAAAAAAAAAACAGGTTTAAAATATAGAAGTCTTTTTGAAATATAGTTTTTAATTTTGATCAAGTCAAATATATCTTTTTCTTTTTTGCTTGTGCTTTTGGTGTCATTGTCATATATAAGAAACTATTGCCTATTCCAAAGTCACAAGGATTTTACTTTTTTTCTAAGTGTCTTGTAGTTTTAGTTCTTACTTTAGGACTATGATCCATTTTAAGTTAATTTTCATGTGTTGTGTGAGGCAGGCATCCAACTTTCTTCTTTTGCATGTGGATAACCTGCTGTCTCAGCACCATTTGTTGAAATGACTAACCTTTCCCTATTGATATGTCTTGCCACCCTTGTCAAAAATCAATTGACCATAAATGTAAAGGTAGAGCCCATGCTTTTAACCAGTATGTTATACTGTCACTACACCTAGACTGATATTTAAATGGTGTTAATAAAATCAGCTAAATTCCCAAAATGTTTATTATTAATCATTATTATTATTAATCATTATCTCTAGTAAGCTTTCACTTTCATCAGACTTTTGGTACTATGTGTTTTTAAACCATGAACATGTATTATTTTATAAAAATAGTTTTTAGAAAGTAGTTAATTTAAGAAATTTTTAAATAACCTCTATCATACAATGTCAATTTAGGGTCAACAACCAAGAGACTGTTTTATTATATACCAGACAATCAAATGTTACTAATCCTTAACATATGGATAGAAAAGTGAAAAGGAACATAGAAATATCCTAATCTTTGAGATATAAGTGCTATGATCTGAATGCTTCTACACCTCTAAAATTTCTGTGTCAAAATCTTAACTCTCAAAGTGACAGCATTAGAAGGAGGGGCCTTTGGGAGGTGATTAGGAGCCCTCAAGAATGGGATTAGCGCAGTTATGAAAGAAACTCCAGAGAGCCCATCTCCCCTTCCACCATGTGAGGACACAGCAAGAAGGTACCTACTGAGAATCAGGACGTGGGCCCTCACCAGACAAGGAATCTACTGGCACCTTGATCTTGGACTTCCTAGGTCACAGAACTGTAAGAAATTGTTTTCCCTTGTTGATAAGCCTCCTAGTTTATGTTATTTTGTTTTACCAGCCTGAACAGATAAGAAAATGAGAAGTGGGTTCTTCTTAAAGAAAAACTAGCTTGTTGTAATTTCTCGTTTGTTGTAGTTTCTCTGGGCAGGGGGCGGTGGCTCATGCCTGTAATCCCAGCACTGGGAGGCTGAGGCAGGAGAATCGCTTGAACCTGGGAGGCAGAGGTTGCAGTGAGCCAAGATCACAACATTGCACTCCAGCCCAGGAGACAGTGCAAGACTGTATCTCAAAAAAAAAAAAAAAAAAAAAGAAAAACTAACATTTTGTGTGCCAATTAATTATAGGATCCCAGAAGAGCAATGGGACTTATTTGTCACAGAGTATACCAGACCAGTCTATACCTATAGTATCTGCCTTCCATAAGTGGAAGGGAGCCTCTCAACCCTTATTTGCATCTGAATAAGCAAGACTTCCTAGGTTTCATCCTTATCCTTAACCTACTGAATCAGACTTGCAAGGCAGGGGCCTAAGCATGCATATTTGTGTGTGTGGCCAGGTGCGGTGGCTCACGCCCATAATTCCAGCACTTTGGGAGGCTGATGCAGTTGGATCACCTGAGGTCAGGAGTTTGAGACCAGCCCGACCAACATGGTGAAACCCCATCTCTACTTAAAATATGAAAATTAGCTGAGTGTTGTGGCACACGCCTGTAATCCCAGCTACTTGGGAGGCTGAGGCAGGAGAATTGCTTGAACCCAGGAGGTGCAAGTTGCAGTAAGCCAAGATTGCACCACTACACTCTAGCCTGGGCAAAAGAGTGAGACTCTGTCTCCAGTAAATAAATAAGTAAATAAATAAACAAACATATTTATGTGTGTATATATTTATATATGTTCACATATGCATATGCATATATTTTAAATGTTCACTGGTAGTTCTAATGCATACTCTTAATTAAGAACTATTGGACTAAAGCAACATAACACATGACTATAGCCTCATCGATGACACTTCAAAATTTTAAAATTAAACTCTAGTTCTCATTTTCTGTTCTCCATTTGTCTTATTTTAAAAAGTAATGTAGAAGTAAACATTCCTCGTGGTAACATCTCAGAGAATGAGAATCACAGAATGTTAGCTTGGGAGAGATATTTGAGGTCACTAGGCCAACTGTGTTCATTCTACTGATGAGGAAACTGAGGTCCAGTCAGGTAATTAATTGGTATCAGCGTCAGAGCTGTCACACAAGCCTCCTGATTCCATAACGCCTTACTGACTCCTTCGATTTCATGGGATGACTGACTCTAAAAGCAGGTGACAATTCCTTACATAACATCTATGCCAAGGGCACCACCCAACTATTAGGCTCAGATATTTGCCAAGACACAGAACAGAGAAGGCCATCACAAGGAACATGGAAACCTGGTCTGTACTAAAAATACAAAATTAGCCAGCAGCGTGGTGGTGCATGTCTGTAATCCCAGCTGTTCGGGAGGCTGAGGCAGGTGAATCACTTGAACCCGGGAGGCGAGGTTGTGGTGAGCCGAGATCGCACCATTGCACTCTAGCCTGGGCAACAAGACTAAACTCCGTCTCAAAAAAAAAAAAAAAAAAAAAAAAGATGAATACTGAGTTAAAGTGTATGGCCATCTCAGGAGGTTGCAGTGAGCCGAGATTCGAGATGCCACTGTACTCCGGCCTGGGTGTTGGAGCAAGACCCTGTCTCAAAAAAAAGAGAAAAAAAAGTACGTGCCATTGAGTTTTTTAAACCCACACTGTCAAATTGTTTTCCAAAAGAATAGTTTGCTTGTTACAACAGCCCTATGGACTCACTTCAGTGTACATTTACTCAGCACTGGGAGTTTTCATTTTTTTTTTTGTATGGAAGAAATAACATTCCATCATGTGAATCTGCATTCTCATTATGGATGTAAAAATAAAATAAATAGATCATTTATTCTATTTTCTTGCAATTTTCTTCTTAATGAGTGTCTGTTTTTGTCTTTATTCATTTTAATCATTGATTGGTCCTGTTGCTTCTTACAAATTTGTTGGAGTTCTTTGTTGTTTTATATCTTTTTTTTCCCCATAAGTATTTTCCCCATATTGCTCGCTCTTTTACCTAATTACATAAACCTTGCGTATACTATCTTTGCTGCATCTACTGCAAGAATGAATCATTCTCAGCAATGAGACTGTTGACATTAACTCTAAGGGACACACGCAGTGGATTGTGAAGGGCCCCAGAGAAACCTGGAGGACTTCAAATCACATCAACTGTAGAAAGATACTCGAAAAAAAAAAGAGGCACCAGGTTGACAACATGGATGGGGAAACAGAAAGGAGCTGGACTACCATTCAGACTATTTGAGACGATGGCCACAGAAGGGATGTAACAAGGTACAATGGCTTCCAGTTACAAGATGAGGGTCGTGTGTTGCATCACGATTCCCCGATCAAATGTCCTTATCCAGCGAGAATGGTCCTCTTG